TCATCAGATGCTTTAAAATGTGTTTTAAACATCTGTTCTGATAAAGAGCTCTGGAAACCTCAAAAGTTTGCACATTGTTCTACATCATTTTGGTTGATACTGATCAAAGATATTCTATGGCTTTTGTGCTTGGATTTTGCTTTGAACCTTCCTGGCTGTTGCCGGTCTCTTTCCCCAGACATGTGCCCAATACAGACTTACTCCACTCTAAACCTATTGATATCAATGGAGACATTCTGCATAGATTGTAAAGCCTCTCTTTTTCGGGGGGGGGGGGCAGAAAAGTACCTTTGCTGCTGCATGTATACTTCAGAAGTAAATCCCATTGAGTTCAATGGGACTTACTCCCTAGTATATTTAGAACTGCAGTCTACGGCTAATATGGTCAAATTAAACAACTTTTTCTGGGACTTCATGAAAGTCAATTTTAAAGGTATTTTTTATTTATGTTACTTGTCTCAGGAACTCAAGGCAGATTACACATAGTGAGTCAGGACAGTTAACAAAAATTAGACATCCAATTACCAATGCATTAGGATTTTAGAAGTCTGAACTGAAAGAACTGAAGGATAGCTTCAGAAAGAACTAAAGCATAGCTTAACTATTCACATGATACATTAAGCAGTATAGAAATTACATAAATAGGTTTCTACTCACACAGAGCAATCCTGGGCGGGGGTGGGGGTTGAAAGCACTCAAGTCGTCCCCCACTACTGTAGCCTCACACATTAGGCTTGGAGGAGATCAGGATGTAGATTACAGGCTCAGCCAATCACCTCCCTCCCCAGCACCCTATCTGGCCTCCACCCTCATACAAATAATTCTCCCGGGACATCTTACAACTCAGTAGTTAGGGCACGCAGCACGGAACTCTCTGCCATGTGGACTGAGAGTGAGTGGCAAGGCAATTATGAAGGCAGAATGCCAGCAGAGGGTTGGGGGCTATCCAGTGTTTTGCACAGAGTATCACATGTATGACTATCTGCCCACTGGACAGAAGTCTTGGGTGTGTGCTCGGTGCAAGGAGCTCCTGGTTCTCAGGGAACGAACCTGCACCCTTGAGGAGAAGGCGGCTGACCTGGAGAAGCTGAGGCAGTCAGGTGCGTGGAGAAGACTCTCGGGGACTTGTTAGATATGCCCTACTCTGAAAATGGCAGCCCTGCCGCTGTCAGGGAGCATGAGGGTCGAGAGGAAACAGGGCACCATACTGAGGAGAAGGGGAATGTGCCCTCAGAAGGGACCTCTTCTTCAGCTGGTGAACAGGTATCCTTTCGCACCAAGGAACCATCCCTGTGCAGGGAGGCAGGGGGGCTCTTGGTAGTTGGTGTTTCTAGATGGGCTGGTAGATCATGCTGGGGAGGAGCCAGTGGTCGTGGTACATGTTGGCACCAATGATGTGGGGAAATGCAGTCGTGAGGTCCTGGAGGAAAAATTTAGGCTGCTATGCAGGAGACTCAAGGCCAGGACCTCCAAGATAGCCTTCTCAGAAGTGCTACCTGTTCCACGCGCAGGGCCGGAGAGACAGGCACAGATCAGGAGTCTCAATGTGTGAATGAGACAATGGTGTAGGGAGGAAGGGTTCAAGTTTGTTAGGCACTGGGATGCTTTTTGTACAAAAGAGACAATCTCCACTTGTCCCGAAAAGGAACCGGGCTTCTGGCGCTTAAAATCAAAAAGGTGGCAGAGCACTTTTTAAACTGAATATTGGGGGGAAGCCAACAGGAGATTAAAAGTCTCTGGTTCAGGATGGCTCATCTCAAAGAGATGAAGGGGTAGCTGTTACTTTTCTACAAGGAAATGGATTAGAATTGACCACTGAGACTGGCTAATGATATGGACAGCCTGGCAAGGTCTCGAGGCAGCAAGAGGAAGTTTGCGGCTTAACATGCATGGGAAATTATAGATGTTTATATACAAATGCTAGAAGTCTCAGAGGTAAAATCGGGGAGTTGGAATGCTTGATATTGGGGGGGAAATAGATATTGTGGGTATTTCAGAAACTTGGTGAGATGAGGAAAATCAGTGGGATACGGTGATTCCTGGTTATAAATAATATCGGAAGTATGGGGGGGAAGGGTTGGAGGTGGGGTGGCTCTGTATGTCACAGGGGGTATACAGTCCAGTAAGACTGAGTGAGTAAGAGAATCACACTCGCTTCTGGAAATGCTATGGGTTGAAATAGTGTGCCCATAAGGAAGCTTAACGCTGGGAGTTTGTTATCACCCACCAGATCAAAAGAGAGAGGAGGATTATAAAAGGATGAATGAATTAAAGATAGTGGCCAGACAAAATAACTGTGTCATAATAGATGATTTAACTACCCACATATTGATTGGGTCAATATGTGTTCAAGTCAGGGAAAAGATTGAGTTTCTAGACACTCTTAATGAGTGTGCTATGGAGCAGATGGTCACAGAATCTACCAGGGGAGTGACGATCCTGGATTTGGTCCTAAGTAACACCCAAGACCTGGTGAGAGATGTAAAAGTGATTGCACCGCTTGGGAACAGTGACCATAATGTTATTGAGTTCAACATTTGTATAAATAGGGAGTTGCCCAGAAAGACCAACACAACCACTTTTAACTTTAAAAGGGGTAACTTCTCTGAAATGAGGGGACATGTGAGGAGGAAACTGAAAGGAAAAGTAGAAAGGGTCAAAAACGTTGGGGAAGCTTGGAGACTATTTAAAACTACAATCCTAGAAGCTCAGAAATAAATATATTAGGAAAGGCACAAATAGGTATAGAAAAAGGCCTGCATGGTTAACAAACAAAGTAATGGAAGCTGTAAAAGGTAAGGAGGATTCCTTTAAGTGGTGGAAAGCTAGTCTCAGTGAGGTTGATAAAAGGGAACACAGGCTGTGACAAATAAAATGCAAGTCTGTGATCAGGCAGGCAAAAAGGGAATATGAGTACCATATAGCAAAAAACATAAAGACCAACAATAAAATTTTCTTCAAATACATTAGAACAGGGGTCATTTTGTAGGAAAAGAGGTGCAGGAGCTCATTAGCATAACTTATTAGCATAACTTATTTGTATATGCCACACCCCCTGGCATCACCAGAAGTGTGTTAGGAGGCAACACCTATCACTCAGGCTCCACTGGACTGTTTTGGATTGCTAGCTATTGGGGGGGGGATGTGCAGATCTGTCCTCACAGAGGAGGGAGAGCTTGTACCTGAAGGCGGGCCGGGGGGGGTGCTCTGCAACTTACCTGGCTGCAACTTACCTGGCTGCTTCTTGCTCCTTGTGGCCCAACTGAGGGCTGCTGGGAGCAGGGGGCAGGGCTTGTTGCATGTGCCCGCCCTCTGGGCTCCTTACTGCCGGAGCTCTTCTCCTGTGTGCTCCCACAGGAAATGATCCCTGCATTAGAAGCAGGAAACCAGCCATGGAGGCAGTGGGGCCCTTGGATGACCAAGGGGTAAAAGGAGTACTGAAGGAGTACTAAGGACTACCAGGCTGGCATCCATTTTAAAATACACTGCTGCCTCTGTCTGGCAGCCATTTTGTCACAGGCTCCATGGATAAATTCTTGCAAAATTAGTTTCACTCTTTTAGCTAAAATCATTGTAAACAACTTAGAGTCATTATTTAATAATGATATTGGTCTATTATTTCTTATCAAAGTCAAATCTTGTCCGTCTTTCGGTATTAGTATTATATTAGCCTCTTTCCGTGTCTCTGGTATATTTCCTCCCTGTAAGATGGAGTTCATTGTATTTTGTAAAGGTTGTGAGATTTCGTCCTCAAAGCACTTATAATACAAACCATATAAACCTGGTCCAGGAACTTTTCCTTTTTTAATTTTTTATAGCTTCTAACACTTTTCTTATTCTTATGGGTCCATTCATAATTTGTCTTTGTTCCTCTGTAATCTTAGGTAGATTTTGTTTTCTGAGATATTTATCTGTTTTCGCCAATGACACATCCTATCCTTTATATAAACTGGAATAATACTTATGAAATGTGTTTTAAAGATCCATAGTGTCTGTTAATATTGTATCTCCTTATATTTTCAATATAATTTTATTTTCTCTTTCTTTTCTCAGTTTATACGCCAACCATTTTCCAAGTTTATTTGCAAATTCAAAATTTCTGTTTTACATAAATTGATTTTATTTCCATTTCTCTTATTTTTAACATAGAAACTGTTGATGTAAAAAAATTATTTGCTGAGAAATAATTATATTCCTTGGGGACTTTTTAAATTCATTATCTTTTCTTTTAATCTCATCCAAAATATTTTGTAATTTTTCTTTTCTCTTCTTCCTAAATTGTATCAAATAAAATCTTTACTTACACCCCAAACCATTCTCAGATCAGTGCCTTTGTTCAAATTAATTTCAAAGAATTCTTTTTACTTTTTACTTTTTCTTACAGTTCTCAACAATTTCTATTACACGTGCTTCATTTAATCTCCATCTAAAAGTATTAGCTTTTCTTTTAACAACCAGGCTTACAGGATTGTGATCTGAAAAGTCTTTGGTAAAATCTCTACTTTAACAGCCTTAGTACTTAAATCTCTAGAGAGCCAAACCATATCTATTCTTGAAAAAGATCTATGTCTATCTGAGAAATAAGTATATTTTTTTTACAATTTAATAAGTTTTTTATTAAGTAATTAGTCAAGAATACATAAGAGTTAACATGTATGAACCAAAAAAAAATGTTTATCAGTGACATTACAGATATTTATATTTTCAACTTACAGTGTGTCCAATCCATAAAGTTTTTAATTACCCTATGAGTGATACATAAGTGTTACAAAGTACTTTAACACTAGTTTGAAATGCTGTTCAATAGAGTGCTCAGACCTCAGAAATAACTATCAACTTATAAGTGCATCCATTCAGTGTATCCCTGATTTGCTGGCAGAATATTAGTTTCTGTAAAGTATATTATCAGAGCATACCATTTTCGTACAAACCTAGATTGTGACCCTTTATGCCTATGTGTGTGTGTTTCACTTGTGTCCGCTATTTTGTCCATCACATAGTGATCCCAACATTTGTTCCGCCACTGGTCCAGGGATGGAGATGCCTTGGATTTCCAAGAGGCTGCAATGATGAGCTGCACCGTGGCGATCAAAGTGGCAGCTAGTTCAGAGATATGAACTTCTCTGTCATCTATGGTATGTGTTGAGTTCAAAAGTAGTATGGCCGGATCCAGTGGGATTTGCTCTGATGTTATTTTATTTATTTCATCCAGAACCCCGTATAACTATGACTGCCTTCATGGCGTCCCACTGGATCGCCGGGTCTACCTCTGAGTCCCTGTGTATCTCCAGGAATTGATCAATGTCCTCCAGTTTTTCCTTTATGTGGGTGTGAAATAAAATCGAGGTGTCCATACTCCATTTTTTGTCTGTGGTTTCATTTGTGTTTCCCGAAATATTGCAATTCAAACAGGCGTGATCCGTTAGATGCTGCAAACCGTTGTTGGCTGATTGTATGAAAGGTTTTAATGTAGATGAGATCAAGATGTAGTCAACGCGGGTAAAGACTTCATGTCTCGCAGAATAGTAGGAGTAGTCTCTTTCCAAAGGATGACAGAGTCTCCATATGTCAAGAAGCTCAAAATTATCGATCAGTTGAGCCAGCTGGGTTCTGTTTTGTATTTTGTTTCTTAAGTTTTGCATTTGAACAGTCCAGCTGAGAGTCGATTATGTATATATTTATTTATTTATTTATTGGGATTTTTACCCCGCCCTCCCCGTGAAACGAGCTCAGGTCGGCTTACAAGGGGCAAAGCCCATATAAAACAGGATAAAAGCATTAATAGAATAAAAAACATTAATAACAATCACAAACAACAATGATACTCAATTGAAAGCAGGATGGTCCCCGAATATATACAATGATGGTAAAAACAGTTCTCTGGGGATGTTGTCCTATAGCTGATCCCAAGCAAATAAGTCCGATAATATCAATCACACAAAATTGTGGCAGATCTTCCTGGGCCATCCTTAACCCTGATGTTGTCCACATAATTGGTGGTGGTGGTAGTGGTGGCCCCTATGTGAAAGTTTGGCAGAAGAGCTCCATCTTGCAGGCCCTGCGGAACTACATAAGGTCCCGCAGGGCCCTGATCTCCTCCGGGAGCTCGTTCCACCAGGTAGGGGCTGCCCCCGAAAAGGACCTGGCCCTAGTCGCAGCGAGCCTTGCGTTCCGGGGGCCTGGAACCACCAGGCGATGTTGCGCCCCGGACTGAAGTGCTCTTGGGGGTATATGTAGGTGAGGTCTCCTCCGATTATTAGATGATCTTCCTGGAACTTCTTCAGTTTAGTCAGAGTTTTCTGTAGGAAAGGAATTTGCACAGAGTTTGGGGCATAAATTGAGGCAAACGACCTCATGACCCCACTCATGGAGCGTTTAATGAATATGAATCGGCTCACTGGGTCTATTTCCTTCTCTTTCAAGACAAAGTTTACACGTTTCACCATAATAATGGACACTCCCCTCGCCTTTGAAGACCCTGGGGCTAGATATTGATGTGGAAACCATGCAGACTTTAAAATCGGGTGTACTGCTGATCTCACGTGTGTTTCTTGAAGAAACAGAATGTTGGGATCTGTTTTTCTGATGTATTGTGCAACCCTCTTTTTCTTGACAACGTTATTAATTCCCCTAATGTTAACAGAATGTACCTTGAGAGACGCCATATTGCTAAGTGTGAAAAATGTCAAATGTGGCAGGTGTCAGAATCTTTTAAAAACAATATGTAAAGAAGTATTATCAACACTAATCAGAGAATAAATGGTCTGAGCAACTCTTATTGTGTTATTAATGTGTCAAGAATATGTTCAATCCTGATCAACAATCAAATATCAATATTTTAACTAGCTTTTCACTCTAAAATATTTTAAATGCAAAATCAACTATGCAATTAATCAGTATGATAAAACAATGAATCAAGTTAGCAGTATTTGATTATATATAAATGTGCAACTGTTTAAAAAGCTATCAAATATTGGAATAGATTACTTTTAATCAGCAAATCAATTTACTGTAAAATGTAACAATTAATTAATTTATATATAAAATATCAGCTTTGCACTTGATTAATGCAATTTATACACTAGAATATTCAAGCATAATTGGATTGGATACACACTTATCAAGATTTCAAAGCAGATCAGATATTTAAATCAAGTAACTTCAAGCAATGAATTAATATACTGTAAGAATGTATCAATTGATTCACTTTTAAAATATAGATCAAGTTTTAGATCAAGTTTTAAATATATATATATATATATATATGAAAGAACCACGGCAACTCAGCCTATTATGCAGAAATTCTACCCTTGCGTTATCAAATCTAGCCACTAGATGGCTATAGAGGCTGCTATAAACTCTGAAGCAGTTGTTGTCTATTACAATGCCCAAGAAGCCTGAAGGACCCAAGCTCCGTCCGCTTAGGTAACTTCTTATGTTAGGCTTCAAGATGCGTCAGTTAGTAGCTGGTGACTGAACCCTATATGTCTAAAAAACACTACACTAAGAGATATTCAGGTAAATGCAACCAAAGTAGAAAATGAATTATAAAAAAACAATAACAAACCCTGGACCGTCTCCGCCGAACACCAACCTTCCCCTTCTGGGAACCAGCAGTGGTCTCTTTAAACACAGAACAACTGGACTCAGAACCCCCCCCCCTCTTCTTCATAAAACGACGCATAAAAACCAACAATTTCTAACACCTAATAAAAGCGATACCACTCTACAAACTGATTTATCTGCGACCATAAGGGTTTCTTGATCTATTTACGACGATCTACTTGCAAGCAGTGGAGCATTTCGATCTGCCGGCTTCAGGACAGGCGGAGGTGAAGGATAGAAGGAGTCCCTCGGCAGCATTTTATTACTTTTCTCCAGGGAGTCTGGGGAGTGATGCCTGAGTGCTTGCTGACGTCCATCGGCTCCAAGAGTTTTAGTGCCTCCAATAGTTCATAGCCTGAGTCCTCACCAAATGCCTGTAGAGTTTTTCCTTGGAAATTGACAAGAAAGTTTCCTGAGGGCATCCAGCGATATCGGACATTTTCTTGCTTTAGGCGGGAAGTCGTGGGCTTCAGGGATCGCCTGATCTTTAAGGCCTCTTGAGGTAATTCTGGGTACACTTGTACTTGATAATTCTTATAATTTAAAGAGCCTTTAGCCGCTGCTTCCTTTAAAATTTATTGTCTGGTCCTCTCCTCGGCAAACTTTATTAAGATATCTCTCGGCCCACATCGTTTCTGGGCATTCATGGGGCTTATTCTATATGTAGACAAAATGGTGGGCGCCACTCCTTCTTCTAATTTGAAGATTAATGCCAGCCATGATGAGGTAAAACAAATTAAGTCTGTATTGCCTTCCTCGCCCCCCGGGATCCCCCGAAATTTAAAATTTAGGTGTCGGATTTGCGTTTCTATCATTAATAAACGTTCTCTATAGTTTATTTCCTTTTCCTGCAGTTCTTTAACATCATTTTTAAGCATGAGGCCCATATTTAAACTAGACTCTGCGTTGCCGGCTGTTTTAATTAGGGCTGTCTGAATGTCCACTAGTTGCTCTCTTACTGGCTGCAGAGAAGTCGTATCGTGACCTGCATGCTGTCTGTAAACTTTTTTCCAAGTTTGCCAATAGAGTGGGCAAGTCTATATTTGCTGAAGTTTGTACTTGTGTTTGTGGTGACGAGCTTTCTGCCGCCATTTTTTCGTTTCCCACTCTGAGGGACTTCTGCTCTGGTCTATTTTTTTTTTTGCAAAAAGAAGTCTTTTGCGGACATCTGGTTGGTTTTATTAGTCACTGCTTGTGACCCATGGTTTTTTCCCATACCTGGGAGGTCGCGATTTAGATTTGGACGTTGGTTTTATATAGAACTAGGAAAAAGGGACATTGTGGAAATAAATACAACGGCCTCTAGAAAGAGACTCTGGGCGGGTGCCCCGGCCTTAGACACTCAGTGTCAGTTTGCTGTGGCAACCAGCAGGGTATAATGACACTGAGTCCACCATTTTCTCCAGAGGAACTGATCTCTGCTACCTAGTTGTAATTTTGAGTGATCTCCAGCCCTCACCTGGAGATTGGCAACAATGGTTCCCCAGAAGGGAATGGTTGGTTTGGAGGGCGGAGTCTGTGGCTTTGTACCTGTCCAAGGTCCCACACCTCCTGAAACCTCACCCTCTCCAGGCTCCATCCCTCATATCTCCAGAAATTTCCCACCTGGAGTTGGTAACCCTATCTCTTTCCCAGCCAATCATCAACCTACCTTTATTTCCCCCTCACTCTTCAGCTTTCCACCTCCCACACACCTGCAGCCTCTCCCGTGCTCTGAAGCCCTGACTGCTATGTCACATTGGCTGTCATACGGGGGCCACCTCAGCAGCATATAAGGATACAGAGCCCACCATTTTCTCCAGGGGAACTGATCTCTGCCATCTGGAGAGCAGTTGTAATTTTGAGTGATCTCCAGCCCTCACCTGGAGATTGGACACATTTTACCTCAGAACAGCAAACTGTTTAGAATGTTAGAGGCAAAAGCCAATCAAGTCGCATATGCAAACAACCTCTGTGTTCCGAGGCAAAGGCCAATGAGGCTGCATATGCAAATAACCTCTGTGTTCTGACTGGCTATGGGGGGGAGGGGAACAGCAAACTGTTTAGAATGTTGGAGGGGAGACTCAAGCAATGCAGCCAGTGGATAGGCACAGATTCTGAGTGACACACTAGGGCGCCAACCAATTCCAGAGGGTGTGGAATGTTCTAGAGAAGTGCCTCCACCATTTGGCTTTTATATATGGGAGATTAGAACAAGGGGTTCAGAGCTCTCATTTCATGCGACTGCCATCTTCCACGGTGTCGCCACACCCCCAAGTACGGTATACTCTTTTAAACTACCATTTTTCTGTCCCTGTATATCAACCAATCCCAAATTGTCCATCAAATCAAAAAATGTTTTTAGCAGTTTACCTTGTGTAATTTCAATATTTTTCCCTGAAGTATCTATCAATTTGTGGTGAGATCACTCCATCCCAGTCTCCTATCAAACATCAACTTTCATAGGGGAGACCTATTAACTTATCCATAAGATGTTTGTTGAAAATCCCTTTGTCTTCTTTTAGTGCATACAGTCCCAGAACCAAAGTCTTAAGTATGTTGGTTTCTACCACCACAAATTACCATGTTTATCTACCAGTACCAAATCTGGTTTTAATTGGGGGTTAATAAATAATAACAGCGTTCCGTGCGCCTTGGTGTTTAGTCATGCCAGCCACATGACCACGGAAACGTCTTCGGACAGACCTGGCTCTTCGGCTTT